TTAAATGTGACTATTTTTTATCTGAAAGGTAATCCATTACATTTTTCTATGTTTTATACATTTCAAGAAAGGGCAAATCCCAAAGTCTGAATTGAAAAGGACACACTTCAATCTAATGTAAATCTTGTCTTTAGATCCTGAAATTCACTCCTGTGCAAATTACTTAGGTATGACTAGGCTGATTTTAAACTAATGAGTGCAGGCACATTCAACCCCTCAAGAGAATCTGAGATTCTGTAAAGAAAAGTTATAAACCTTCTATCATTCCATCTAAGAACTTAAAATCTCTCCAGGACTATATAACATAAATACTGCCAGGTTTATAAATGATTGCCTATCTGAATTTTTATATCTACCAAAGTTAGTAAATTAGCAACCCAATTCAATTGTCAAAAATACTAAGCAAAACAAATCCATATTGCTTTTGCTATCAAATTATGTATTTGTGCATCTAAAAACATTTAATACAAGTGTTCTCACAGAAAAAAATATTTGATTTTTCATTAAGTTCCTGAAATGCTTTAATGCATACTATGATTTTGTTAGTGTGAATTTAAATGTAGAGGAGAATGCAGTGTGCTAAGTGATATGCCAGTGTTTCATTACATTCATTTATGAAAAAATAATTCTTGATAATATGAATGCATGAGAACCTGTTTTGTAAAATAAACTGCTTGAGGGGTTGCCTTTAAAAATGTTTCACTATTTACCATAGAATCTATACTTAAAAACTGCATTCCCAAGACTTACTTTTATACCTATCTCCCTGGTATATCGAGGGAACGTACCTCTGGAGAAAGAAATCATTTGGGCAACGAGAATCTTACTTCTCTAACTTGGTAGGCAACTTTAGCTCAGTTGAAACTGCTGCAGACGATGTTTTGCACTACTTTCTTAATAACAGACTGGGATAGGGAATAATATACTGGTGGGGATTATGTTGGAAGATATAGAAAAGCAGAAAATATATATTTCACGCTAAAGGAAGATTCTTTAAATAATAAACAATCTCATCAAAGCTGATTTTTAAAAGTATTTTTATTTAGAGATATGTTGTTAAATACTATTTCTTATAATAGAACTATTTTGACCTGTTTATACACTATGCTTGAAAGAACGTCAATTAAATTATCTTTCTACAGAAAGGCTTTGACCTCATTATGCTCTATTTAGTGCATCATGTTTAAAATGACATGCTTTACCTCTGCATACCATCACTGTTTGTTGCTAAAACATTACTTCATGAAGTTGATGTTACTACAGAGAGTCTGATAATTTGTTTAAAATAACTTGATTATACCTTGTGTGAGATTTATGTCTGTGCTGACAATGTCTTCTCAGATGTCTATAAGCCTGATACTCTACAACCTCGGATGTATTTAGTGAATCGTAACCATTAACATGACTAATTTTGTTTCATTGTATCAAGTTTCAGATGTTTAGTTCAATGATAATGTTGACTACATATTCACTGCATTAAATAGAAAAGAAAATAATCTTTTCTATGTGTAATCAATACTTTTTTTTTGGCTGAGAGGATGGGGGATTGTGTGCATATTCTTAAATGACACTACACTTGGCTTCTCCCGAATCTTCAATGAAGCTCAGCACTGGGTTCAATCCTCAGCACCACATAGAAATAAATAAAATAAAATAAAGGCATTGTGTCCACCTACAATTAAAAAAGATATTTAAAAAAAATTGGAAAAAAAACTCAGTGAAGCTGAGAGTAGTAACTAGCTTGAGGCTAAGTATAAAAGTGATATTCAGGTAAATCATCACTGCCTTTTGAAACTATTACACTCACAGGATGAAACTGTCTTAAATTTTAACTATTTCCCCTTCTCACATAGGCATACTTTTCTCTTAAGAACTATCTAATCTGCCTTGGTTTTGATTTTTGATGCAAATATTTCAAAATATCTTAAGAGATTGAATGTTACTTTATTTTATTTAGACTGCTAAATATAGTAAATATTATGAACTACTAAATATTTTCCTCAGTATTTTTCAGTGAGTAAATTCATTGAAAGTTGTTATATTTACATTCCAAATTATCACCATTAATTTTGATAATTTGCAAGAAATGCATATCTATCCATATTTTTAAACTTGATCTCCACCTTAGAGGCAACTATTTAACAGTGTTCATATTGGTACTGTCCCAGACTCACATTGATAATTCTAAAGGAATTCCCAATTATTTTTGAGCTATTTTATATACTATGATAATGTGAATTGGGAGATTCTTTAAATTACTTTGCTCTGTGATATATTTATTGAGTACCTACTGTATGACCCTGTCATAGGCAATGTTCAAACTAATGGTAGTGTATTAAAACCAAACCTGAAGTTGAATTATAGTGAAAGGTAAATTTAACTGATATGTTTCTGAAAATAACTTTTATAGAATTTTTATTTGCATTTAAATGTGAATAAAAACTTTATAGTAAGCACTTTATCCAGAGACCATAACAGACTTTTCCTTACTCAAGGATTTCCAAAAGTAGCCTACTTTTGTATTAACAAATCTTACTCAAAGACCTTAGTTTCAGTATATAAACTTGTTAACTGACCCTAAGTGTTCATGATGCTTTGGAATTTTGTACTCACCATTAAAAACAAAAAAGACTAAGGCAGTTAAAGCTCTAGAAATACAAATCAAGGAGCACTACTTTACTTCTTTAAAAAGCCTCAGATATTATTAAATGAATATGTGTTTAAAGTCCTGGTGCTTTAAATATCTAATATGAGTGTGTATTATAGATGCCTATTCACTGGTTTGATAGAGTAATCTAGAAATCAGACTTTTGATTAAGTATGAATCAAAACCATATAAAAATATAATGAATACTTACAATAGTGTTATTTCTTTAAATTATAATTCTCCTTCCTGGGATGACTGAATTAACTCACTGGAAAAACAGGGTTTTCTTTGGTAAAATATTACTCTTATACCTCAGTTTCTACATTTATATAGTTAACAATCACATCAGAAGACTTATTCCAGTTGAATCTCTAAAGTTTATGAAATATCAAGAATAATTTGTCATTATATAAGAACATTATGCAAATAAAAAATTAAATGGTCAAAGTATTTACATAATGTAGAAATGCAATGAAGATTTATTGGAACTTAATGATTCTATTTGTGCTTTTCCAAGGGATATGGATTAAGAACCAAAGGGAAAACAAAACACACACACACACACACACACACACACACACACACACACACACCAAATCTAATAACCAAATATGCAATTAATCTTAAGGGAGTTTCAATTTTTTGCTTCATCCCTTCTTTCACATTCTTTGTTTGGGGTTGGAGGAGACTTTTTAAAAAACTATCCAGAGAAAAAAATCAAGATAGATCTGAGATCAACTCATCTAACATGATAGTAAATATAAGATGGAATTAACCCACCCATCAAGATAAATGGTTTTCACCCCATGTCACAAAGCAAAAGCCAATCTAAGCTATTTAAATGAGACATATATAATAAAGAGAGCCATCAAAGTTGAACATGAAAAAGATGGACACAGGTGTACCAGACCAAGCACAAAAGAAATCAAGCATTCCCAGTTTATATTCAAGAAAGAAATCCGAGACAAAAAATAAGACAAAGATCATTCACATTCTAAGTTAAACAAAAAAAATTCCCCCCAAACCCAAAAAAGTGTTGTATTGAATGCACAAGCAGTATTGTTGTAAAAAGAAATTTATACAACTATCCTGTATTTCTCCAAATGTCACTGAAAAATTGTTATTCCATTTTTCAAAAAGTAACAATGGCTTTGCTCTTCTGCTCTAGTCAATTAGCAGGGTTACTACATTAGGCAGAAAGCTTTATTTGTATTTAGTAAAACAAAATCGTTTAGGTAAGTAGTTGTGTCAAAATTTTTCAATATGAAGCAAAATTAAAATTGCAATGTTAAGTCTTCCCTACCACAAATATTCTCAATTGTTGCTTCAAAAGAGAAAAGGAGAAACCAACTTGAGTCAATGAATCTTATTGAAAATCACCTTGTTTTCTCAGGAGGACCATATTTGAAGAGATTCTGAGACCTCTCAGGGAGATATCACTGCTATGACTTAGGAAAGATGGCAATATAGGCTCAAATTTACTTTCTGATCCAAGACAAATTTCAAAACAGCTGGAGTCAAATTGAGAGATTTGATTTTATATGGGTTCAAATGGTAACAGGTTTCGAGGAAATGAAAAATTCATAGAAAAAGTTGGCTTCAACCACTCTTAGTTAATTTTTTTTTTTTTTTTGGTGACACAGTCTCCCGTTGTCAAAGTTGGTCTTTAACTCCTGGGCTCAAGCAATCCTTCTACCCCAGGCTCCCAAAAGCTGGAACTATAGGCTTGCACCAATAGACCTGGCTCCCAACCATTCTTAATTGTGTGGTGTTTGTTTTGGTTTGGTTTTTGAGTACTGGGGATTGTACCCAGGGGTGTTCTACCACTGAACTACATCCTCATTCCTTTTTACTTTTTAATTTTTTTGAGACAGGGTCTCCTTAAGTTGTCCATGCTGGCCGTGTATTTGTGTTCTTCCTGCCTCAGCCTTCCTGGCAGCTCGGATTACTGACATGTACCACCAGGTCCAGCTTCTTTATTGTCTTTTGCATTATGGGAGACACCTGAGAAAATGTCAAGTGTTATTACAGAATAGCTGGACCACAAAAGAGAGGCTAGGGGAAGGAAGTGTCAATATCTGATTCACATTTAGAGATCCCTTTTTAAAGCTGTTAGAGAAGTAGACGATATATAATTAATTACATTCCCTATAAAATAGTGTTCCTTATAAAGTAGTGTTAAGTCAAACTAACTCTCTTACAAAAATTCTTACAAAGGTACAAATATCTACTTTCTATTACACAGGTAGGGATACATCTATGATTTTATCATAATTGTTAATAAAATGTAATTGGAGTGGCAACTAACATCAGTTTCTACCCACATTTGCACGACTGTGTACCTACTCCTTACCTTTGTCCTGAACTCCTTCAAACTTCAGACCCCATAAACTACAGTATGATCTTTCAAGCACAGGGGAATCCATCTAGAAAAGTCAAATATTATGCATTTTTGAAGAAGTAGTTTTTAATGACCAATGAGGTATCCTTTTTAAATTCCTGAACATGTAAAATTTCCCCCCTAGCATATATATGAAAAAAATGCATTTCCAGAAATAATATAAAAAGCATGAAGCCATTTTCATGGCCATCACACTAGAAGTACAGAGAATTGTCTCAACAAAAAGCGGTTTTCATCTGAATTTACATTGCAAATAATGTTATAAAGTGGATTTTTTCCAGACCAATGATGATAGAAGAACAAATTCTTAACTTAATAACAGTAGTAAACTCCCTTCAAAGGCATTTAAGGGACAACCTTTGATAAAGGTAGCTATCACTTAATCTTACCAGTTTTCCATCTCCTTTTCTGTGTTGAATCAGAAAAGACCCATCAGAGAACAAGTAATTCTTCAGGTTCTGTGAATACTTCTAGAGTCAGAAAGCAAAAATACATTTTATCATGACTACATATGGAAACATTTAACCTTTAGCAATTTAACTACTAATAATCTCCTAATCCCTATCCCAACATGGTGAGGATCTACTTTAAAGCAGTGAAAATTAAAATTAGAAGAATTAGATCAGTAAAGTGATAAATACACTCTCAGAAGAGGAGCACCCAGTACAAGTGTGTCAAGATTTATATTAGATGATATTAATTACATCCTACCTTGAAGAAAAATGGCCATATTTTAAAATTGCAGTTTATCTTTTAAAACTCTAATAGATGCCAATTTAAATAAAGCAACTTTAGGAGAATAAAATTACAGCATTTACAGGTAAATGGATGGAGCTGGAGAAGATCATGCTAAGTGAAATAAGCCAATCCTAAAAAAACCAAGGGATGAATGTTTTCTCTGATAAGTGGATGTTAATCAATAATGGGAATGTGTGTGTGATATGAGTAGAGGAACTTTGGATGGGGCAAAGGGGGAAGGAGGTAAGGAAGTAGAAAAGACAGTGGAATGAAACAGACATCATTACCCTAGGTACATGTATGATTGCACAAATAGTGTGACTCTACTTCATGTACCACCAGAGAAAAATTCTGCTCCATTTGTGTGCAATGAATTGAAAAGAATGTATAACTAATTAGAACTAATAAAAAATTAAAAACATTTTAAAATCTAAAAAATAAATAAATGAATAAATAATTAAGGCAACTTCAGTAAAAATCAATACTGATTTTTACTTACATCTGGAACATTACTTTCAAAATAAATTGGTTACTGGCATTCCAAACAAATCATGTTGTAAAAAAATGTTAAGTGAAAAAGAAATTTTCAAAAATTTACCACATAAACACAACCAATAATTAGGAATATATTTTTGTTTATTTTATTTTATTTATTTTTCTGGTACCAAGGATTGAACTCAGTGGCACTTGACCACTGATCCGCACCCCTAGTCCTATTTTGCATTTTATTTAGAGACAGGGTCTCATTGAGTTGCTTAGTGCCTTGCTTTTTCCTGAGGCTGGCTACTGATCCTATTGCCTCAGTGTCCTAAGCCCATGGGATTATAGGTGTGTGCCACTGCACTTGGCAGCAATATATTTATGTACAGTCATTTTCCCTATGTAAATGGAAGTGATTTTTAATCACATTTAAATAGCTTTTAACAAAGAACAAAAATTTGTCAAGAAAAATGGTTTTAAGGAACCTTTAAAAAATGGCTTTTGACGTCCGTTAAGATCATTTTCTCCAATAACATGTCAGAAGCATGAACTTGGAAAGAACTTAAATGACAGGAAAATAAGAAATAAGACATCTAAACTTACCTAATCTTGAGGAATAGACTGAATACTATTAGTCAAAATAGTCTGTTTTTGATGATTTCATTAAAACTGGTATTTTTATTCTTCATCATTTTTATTGAATTTCAACTAAAAGAACCTCCTACAAAATAATTACCCAGACCTTTGGCTTAGTTTATTGAAAATTACTCAAAATTTTCAAAGACATAGTTAATTACTGATATTAGATTTGTCTATAAGCCTTCTAATTTTATACTTTCACTAATTTCATAATATTAAATAACATCTGAAAATTTTTACTTTCTTCATTCCTCCAAATCAAAATAATTCCTAATAGTTTTTCCCCCATTCCCTTGGCAGTTTTCTTCTTTACAATTCTGCTATTAAATTTCCTAGAAAGTTCTTTCAAAACATATTTTAATTTTATCAAACTCTAACTACTGCCTGCAATTTCATCTTCATTTTGTAAGAGAATGCAAAGTAGAAAAATGCATGTTTAGGACTAAGTCAGATACTTGAGATGTACTTTCCTTAAGATAAAAACCTATTATAAATTAAACCATTCTGGTCATTCAATAAAATTTATCAAGCATCATGACTTAAACCATCATAGACCTAACCTTGAAGCTGAAAAGCCATCAACAACAAACACTCTTTCATCTGTCAGTCACTACTTTAGGATTAATTTTTTCAATATGACTATATCACTTGGGGACAGAAGGTTGGAGAAGCAAAGGCAATTTTAGTTCATCTACTATCAAGACAAATGATAGTATGATAGGTGCAAATTCGATGCTAGATTCCAGATTTTCAATTCAGTGCAACTTATCTTCTGGAAGCACTATTTTTTTTTTAAAACCTCTATTCTTTGGTGGAACTAAAGCATATGTTCCCAAGTAGTGAGCCGTTCTCTACTATAATGATTAATAGCCATTAAAGTATTAATGTTCACTTAATCCAATCTAGAAATCCAGGGAAAGAAGATGATTAGATTTACCAAATCTGGGTTTAACATCCTAAAAATATTTGGGAGCTAGTATACAAAAACAATTTTAGAGAGAATGTTTCAATTCTAATTAGAGACAGCTATTTAGGAATGTCTGGATAAGGGCCTTTTGAGAGTGAGTCTGTGTCACAGGCAATACGATGTTATGATATTTAAAAATATTATGTATACGTTTATAATTTATACTGTTTTTATAACTGAACTAGTCACTTTGCTTACTTAATACTGCTGGATTTTAATTCAGCAACAGTTTTAAAAACCAGAAAAGTGTTCAATGTCCTTCTGTTTTTAAAAGGGAGGGAAAAGGTAATATATCCTTAAAAACAAAAATGTTCTAAAGCAAAAAAACTCACTTGTATCTAGTACTAAGGGTTGTACTTCAAACTTAAAACCTACAGTAATTAGTTCAAATATATAAAATATTACAAAAAGCGAATAACACAAAAATACTACCAAATAGCAGATTCTTCTGTGAAAAAAAGCTAATCACTTGGATGTATATGTGGTAAACCTAAGAAGTCTCTTTTCAAACATTTTAACAGAAATACTCTTTCCCCTCTAAAATTCACATAAATTCATGTCTTAAGAAACAAAGATGTGATTCTGCAATCTGTATACGGGGTAAAAATGGGAGTTCATAACCCACTTGAATCAAAGTGTGAAATATGATATATCAAGAACTATGTAATGTTGAACAACCAACAATAAAAAAAAAGAAACAAAGATAGGTAGACGAGAGGTCTATGTTGTTTGATATTTTCATAAACTTGAAACATGAGTTGAACATATTTTGAGTGTTCTAGAAGACAGAAATTGACTATAACAGGACAAACTCTTTAAAAAAACTATTACCAATGTTAAAAATATCTTTCAAGGGACTAGGGTTCAATGGTAGAGTGCTTGCTAGCATGTGTGAGGCACTGGGTTCGATTTTCAGCACCCCATATAAATAAATGAAGAAAATAAAGGTCTATTGACAACTAAAAAAAAAAAAATCTTATAAAATGTTTATTTTTTTCTCACAAGGTCTTGAGATATGTATGCTTAGAACCAAGTACATGAATAATACAACCTTTTCTAATTAATTAGCCTAATAATTTCTAGATATATATAAGAGATAGTAACCAAGAAAATATACCCTCCAACCCATTTTAACTTACAAGGCAAATTTCTGGATAACAATTTAACTTATAGGGAACAGTTAACTATTCCAGGACTCCATTTTTGATACAGGCACAGCCTAATTCCAGTAATGCCATCATTGACCTTTCTAACTCAATCCACATTGGTTATAAAAACAATTATCATTCTGAGTTTTGTAAGCTCCACGTCAGCAGGAAGTACAATTGGTGTGGAAGCTGTGTGATAATGCCTAAGGGAAAGAGTGCCTCATGTCACTCAAAGATGACCCCTTTCTACTCATAAAGGAGCAACAGTGACAGGCTCTCATCAAGTTCATCACTAAACTGGAAAGGTGTATAAAGGCATGAGGAGGGCACATTCCACCATTTTTTTTCATGTAAAGTTATTCATTTAAATTTCCGTAACAGTGTAAGGAAAAAAAAACATTTTCTGGAGTTTATATAAAGTATCTAACTGTTAATGCATTTGTATTTGCCTAAGAATGCGTACTAATTCAGTAACACTGAAAACACACTCTACATTTGACCCACTCTAAAATAAAAGTGCTAAAATAAAACTAATCAAAGAACTAAACAGCCAGACTATTGAATATTTACATTTTAAAGACTAAAGCAGGGCACCATTACTGCAAATTTTAGAAACACATAAAACTGAAATTAGTATTATTTTTTTGGTATTGGCCATCAAATCCAAGGACACTCTACCACTGAGCCACATCTCCTAGCCTTTCTTTATTTTGAAAACAGGGTCTTCTTGCTAAATTGCCCAGGTTGGCTTCCAGTTTGCAAGACTTCTGCCTCCCCATTTGTGGGATTATACATGTGTGACACCAAGCCTAGCTTAAATTACTTATTGTTAACAGCATTTTTGAAGGCAAGAAAACTCACAGTATTTAAGCCTAGATTACCTTCCCAGACTATTAAGTCTTTGTTTTTTTGTAGAGTCAGGCCATTAAGTACACCAGCTGGTACATTGTAGGTATTCAAGAAATACTGAATTCAAAATAATTATTAACTATTTTCATTTGACTTATATGAAAACCTGTGTTTTTCTGGTCTTCTTGGAATTTTAACAGAAGAGAGTAGATGATATAAAATCTGAAAGAGTAGCAGTTGGAATAACATTATTCAGCTGGACCTATGAGAAGTTTTCAGCTAAACAGCTAGGACTCAGAAAGACTATTTTAAGTTTTTAGAATTTCCACTTCTCTAAGATTTAAGGCAATTATTGTTTTTAATAATATATATATATATGTTTATATGTGTATATTGGAATATTAAAGGTTGAAATACATACTCATATCCTGGTATTGTTAACTAGACCAAAAAACATAGTAACCTGTGTTTGCCACACTGGACTTTCAAAGAAGAATGAAACTGCAATATTCTTACAAAGAGAGACTTCAATGGCATTTGAATATGTCATCACAACTTGTAGAAGTTGGCAGATAGAATAGTTATGAAATATTAATGAAAATTTCAACCAAATGACTATTTCTCTGAATATCTATTTTAGAAAACTACTTTTTTTTCTAACAGTGCAAAACCTCAACTCATGATGTTGATTATCTAATTACTTTAGCATTACTGCTAACTTAAGCAATTACATCTTACATTCTACTTTAATGATTCGTTATAACCAAAAGAGGAGGTAAGAACTAGAAAGGAAGTAATATTTATTAGGTGCTATATAAAGTGATAGACTAACTTCATTCTATCATGATAGGAATGCTTGATGTTATTTCCATCTGATATGTAAGAAAATCAAAGCACAGAAATGAATTTTCCTTGTAACTTAGTCATTAACAAACTAGACAAAAGATTTAAAACTGTACTTGATGTTAAGGCCTATGTTCTTCAATTTATAATAATTTACCAAGCAAACATTATCCCAGGTGCTTTCATAAGTGAGGTAAAATGGCAACTCCTGGGAAACAAAATGTTCACAGTCATCATCTGGGGAAGCATGTTACTCCTTATGAATATCTTAATATCCTTTAGAGAGTTTCCCCTATGTCATTTTTCTCTGATACTTTGGCAGATTCAGTAATAAGGAGAAATATGTATAATGTTATATGTGAAAGCTAAATAGAAATTATTAATAT